TTTAAAAAAAAAAAAAAAAAAAGGACATACAAAATTGAGATGGATAATAGGTTATTGCTCTCACAATGAATATCTGAATTGGATTCACATCACACTACAAAGATCTGATTTTTCAAATCCTTCAGTTTAATATATTGTAGGCTTACATTTCAAGTTTAAATAGCCATTATGCTGTACATGACTTGCTGATTGCACTCTGTGGTGAAAAATATATTGCTGAATTAAAACTGAAAAAAAAAATTATACCTAGTTTCTAACTGTTTTGCAGCAAGTATATTAGTAAATAAACATGATCCAGTTTAAATAAAGATGAATTCAGGACTTTAAGATCCGAGTTACATAGGCAGAATTTCATTAAATGAGTTTAACATGGAAAATTAACATTGGAACAGAAAAACATTACTTTCCTCCCTTGGATAAAATTAAATATCCTGGTGCCAGTTTACTGAGTATTAGAAAGCATCTTTTTTTGTTGAACAGATAGCAGCAGAAGAGAACTCTCTCACAGTAGCAGATTCTCATGTATTGCAATTATTTTCCTATCCACCTGGAGTCTGACCAATCTGCTTAAGTGATTCTATACGAAATAAAAAGTGCTCTAAAATTATCCCTGACAAAAGTAGACCTTTCCCTGAAGTTCCTATAGGAAAGCACACATTCATAAAGCTATGGCTCATCGTACAGGATCCAGTCAGCTAAGAGACTTTCATTTCTTATTTCATTAGGCTTCACACCGAGGCATTAGGATTCTCTTCCCATCAGCTATAGTGCAAGCACCGGAGGATGATGAAGTAGTACTGAGGAAGTAGTGTGCATTCACTTTTATGCTAGAAGATCCCAATTCAGACTTGGTACTGGAGGAAGCAATGCTATTATAGTCCGACAGAACTGCCCCAAGTTTGAATTCGGAACAAAAGCTTCCACCTTACATTATCCTGTGCAAAAAAATAAATACATAAAAGAAAACACATCAGCCTTTCACCAATTCAGTTCCAATAAAGCCATTCATTCATACTATTGCTCAGAGTAAGGACAGTGCATTCAGGCCCTCTACTACCCTGGTGCTAAGTATAAAATGCCTTGAATTTGCTTCAGGGGTGTACTAGGTAGCCGTGTTGGTCTGGACAGAGACATACAAAAAACTAGAAATCATGGTTCCAAAATGAACTCTTTTATTAGACCAACTGGAAAATGGCAAGAAAACTGTCCTTTTCTGCAAGCTTGCCATTTTCCAGGCGGTCTAATAAAAGGGTTCATTTTGGAACCAAGAGTTCTAGTTTTTTGTATATATTGAATTTATTGGGCACAGAGGAGGGTGCAAAGCTGCCCATGTGACACTGTTTAAGAGATTAGGTGTAATCACATTGACAGCTATGTCTGCAGGAGGAAGAGACTTGTTAGTGGCAGACATACCGGCAGTGGGTACTCTCTGCCTCCCGTACATTTTTTGAGGGAGATAAGCAAATAACATGAAATTATTAAAATGAGAACTAATGGTATCTGCGAAAAATGGACAATAATTTTTTATGCTCGAGTAAATACATGCACTAATTTTGCTTCTGGGAAAAAATTTGCTGGATGAGAAAGAGGAAGTCTGACAAGTATCTGACTCCTTGTTTTAAAAAGTGGGATACAAGCTGACTTCAGTGACATTATCCTTTGTTTTTCCCTCCAGACTGCTTGTTTCCCATACTTCATGGCTACGGGGGATCTCGTTTGTTGATGCAATGTTGTAATAGGATGTCGCATGTCATGTTTGTTACTAGACTGCCTGCTAGTGCTGGAATGAAGTGCTGTTCGTTTTGGCAGACTGCAGCATTTGCTACGGTCAATATGTCAACTTAAAGAACAGCTAGACCAAGGAGACGGAGCAGACGCTGCTTCTTCACTGACAGTGCAGTAACATCCTCCATCCTGATACCCTTAAAAAAAGAAAATGTCAGCCAGGCTTTCACTTGCAGCAACAGGCATTGCGCTGAGCATCTCAGACTTTCCACTGTTTCATTCAGGGAGGGAATTTTGGCCAGGAGAGTTTCCAATACAAGATAAGGAGCCTTAGAAAGGGTCACAATGACCTCTCAAATTCAAACCTATTGGCTATTGGAAAGGCAGAAAGCAGCTAAAAACTAACGTCCATAAGACACTAAGCTAAAAACCCCAGGTCGGGTATCATGACACTTCAGGTATCTACTTTGTAGCTCAAGCCCACTGGTCGCGCTGCTTGTTTACTAGTCGTTGTTGCAACAGCAAAAAAATTCATAGTGCTGCAGAGGCAGAGCAAAAACATGGTTTTAGTAAGAAGCCCCATTTCCTAAATCTGAAGGCGTTTCTTCCTCCTCTGTCCCTCATGGAGATCGTAAAAAATTAGGGTTGAAAGGGACCTCAGAGGTCATCTAGTCCAACCCCCTGATCAAAGCAGGACCAACCCCAACTAAATCATCCGAGCCAGGGTTTTGTCAAGCCAGGCCTTAAAAACCTCCATGGAGGGAGCCTCCACCACCTCTCTGGGTAACCTGGTCCAGTGCCTCACCACCCTCCTACTGAGAAAGATTTCCTAACATCCAACCTAAACTTCCCCTTGCTGCAACTTGAGCCCATTGCTCCTTGTTCTGCCATCTGCCCCCACAGAGAATAGTCTAGCTCAGGGGTGGGCAAAACAGTGGATTCAGCCAGTGGCCAGACTCCATTTCCCAGCAGCCCCTGCCCATGTGGCTGGGGCCAGTTTCTGTGGAGACCCCAGCAGCAGTGTGCTGTAAGAGCAGGGCTGGGGTTTCCGTGGAGACCAGCCCCAGCAGCGCTGGCAGGGCACATGGCAGGATGGGTCGCTGCTCAAGGGCCAGGCTGGGATCTTGCAGCAGTGACAGCAGGGTCCTGAGCCACGATCTACAGCCTGCTTGCTCCAGGCAGGGGTGTGCAGGCAGCAGATCACAGCTCTGCCCCAGCTCCAGATCATGTTGTCACTACCGCAAGGAGCCCGGGCAGAGCTGCAATCTGCTGCCTGCACACCCCTGCCTCGAGCAAGCAGGCTGCAGATCGCAGCTCTGCCCTGGCTCTGCACCCTGCTGTCAGGCTGCAAGATCCCAGCCCGGCCCCTGAGCAGCTGCACACCCTGCCAGGGCTGCTGGGGTCTCCATGGAAACCGGCCCTGACCGGTGGGCAGGGGCTGCTGGGAAATGGAGTCTGCTGCCGGCTAGATCCAGCCTGTGGGCCAGCTTTTGCCCATCCTCTTTAGAACCACCCTTCAGGTAGCTGAAGGCTGCTATTAAACCCCTCTCAGGCTTCTCTTCTGTAGATTAACTAAACCCTGCTCCTTTAGCCTCTCCTCGGAAGTCATGTTCCCTAGCCCCCAAGTCATTTTCTGCTGGACTCTCTCTGACTGGTCCACATCCTTTCTATAGTGGGGGACCCAAAACTGAACACACTACTACAGATGTGGCCTCACCAGTGCTGAATTGAGCAGAATAATCACTTCCCTCGATCTGCTGGCAACACACCTACCGACGCGGTCCAGTATGCCATTAGCCAAGGACACACTGCTGGCTCATATCCATCTTATTGTCCCCTGTCACCCCCAGGTCCTTTTCTGCAGAGCTGCTGCCCAGCCAGTTGGCCCCCAACCTGTACCGGTGCATGGGATTGCTCTGTCCTAAGTGCAGGACTTTGCACGTGTCCTTGTGATTAGGGAATCTGTTGAGTCTGGCCCCTCCCTGCAGCAGGAGACTCCCTTTAAGTACCTATGAAGTCTTCCCTACTGACCACCCTAACGTACAGCACAAACATGGGATTATCTGTTCCTATCCAGTGGGCTTTTCCAAAGAGTAGTTGGCCAGGCAAGGTAATGCAACACTTGAATTCAGCCCGCTTCCTTTCCCACCCCCCTTTGGACCTGGAGGATTGGAAGGTAGCAGCTTTCTTCACATGGAAGAGCATCCTTGCTTTTACTGATGTCTCATGGGAATGGGAGGGTCTTGATTAAAGATAAGCAGCCCTAAACAACATGGCATGCTCCCTACACTTTCTAGTATGGTAGAATAATCTGGTTCTGACCCCACGCTGCAAGCAGGCAAAAATCTTTCCTTGTGCATCTTTGTGTAAAGAAGAATGATACAATCCAGATGCAGCTCATAACAAATGACAACTAAATCCCCACTGGAGGAACACAACAGTTCCACATAGCATAATTTAGTGCACCTAACAACCCCACTAGAACAACCTATTTCTGGTTTCCTAAGGATGGAGAGATAGAAGGAAGTTTACAAGCAAAGCTCAACCATTTGCTGCAGGTGAATATGAAATGTGGTAATGTACTTGCTAGATATAAGTGAGTATTTAGAAGACAGATACAAGACTATTACATCAGCCCCCATGACACATATCTTTGGCTTGTTGGTGATTCTTTTAAAGCAAGATACTGAATCGTAACAACATTAAGAACAAATGTGCCTACAGAACACAGTTGATTATTTTAATATAAAACTCCACTAAACCGTTAAGGCTGGCGAGTTCAATTGCATACAATATAGGAAATAACCATGTACCTGACCAAAGAGGCATCTGAGTAATAATGATGACTAAAATGTAAGACAAGGAAAATTGGAAACCTGGGCCTTAGATAGCAGGCACAAAATACCAATTGAGAGTGAAGAATCTGATCCTACCCTCCAAGTCAATATCAAATATAGTAGTGCCTGCATCAAAGGATTGGCCTAAATAAGCATTGTGAGGACAATTCAAGTTCAGTGAAATCTGTCTTTGCTCAAAATGGTCATCTCAAACAAGTCCATCCAAAATAGCTTGAGGAGGAGGAAGGGGGAAAACACCCCCCAAAGTACTGAAGCTTGCAAAAACAGAGAAAAGATGCCTGAGCGCTAGCGGCAGGAGCTATCTGAATTTGTTTGCCAGATAAAACAAAGTTTCTGCGTCTGGATCATTTTTCACATGTCTCTTTCAGAACGCTCTGTCTAATGTAAAAGTGTTTCCTGATATTAAAGTGGTCTAGGCTTCATTAAAAAGCATGACAATGGATCTCACAAAATTTCAGTGAAAAATAAATCAAGAGTCAGCTCATGGAATAAAATATTCCTCTTTAAGTGAATATGGTAATAGAGAAGTCTTGATGAAAAACGTGGAAGGATTTTGCTTTGCTTTTAGCCAGTATGACCAGATGAAATTAAAACTGATTAAAGTGAAAATTAATGGTATGAAGTTCCAATGCCGAATTTCAGCTCCTGGAAGTCAGCAGAGGTGCTTGCTCATAACAAAGCAGCAATCCACTTCACATTATGATTTTTTTTTTTTGTCTTAAGAGTGGCCTGAGAATATTGTTGACTGCAGCTTCTCTGTTTAATATACAACGAATATACAAATAGTGCCGCTGCAAGTTAGCTAAGCTTGTCGAACACCCCTGCTCACTCCCCCTGGCTCAAAGTCACCAACCCACCTCCACAAAAGCGATAGCAATTCATAACCTCTTCCCCTTCACTCACAGGCATGAGCACTGCCTTACTAGCACTGCCATCTTAACCACTCCCTTCAGTCTTTACTTTGTCACATACCGCAGATTCCCAAACTTTTTCTCATTGTGTATTCCCTTCCAGATTTACCAGCTGCCTGTGTACCCTGACCAGCATTCGTTTTATAGTTTAGTCCCTTAAATGCCAAATACTATTATAATGAAAATGTAATCTGTCATTATACAATTTCTCCTGCATATCCTCCAGAGATGTTTTGTATACCCCCAGGGGTATGCATACCAGTTCAGGAACCCCTGACATATTGCATTCATATATGGGGAGGGGTTTGGGATGGGGGTGGGGAGAGCAGGGTAACTGGTCACCTGTTAAAAGGAGGCAGGAACCCCTGGCACAGGGGGCAGGAGGGCAGACTGGTGTCCAGCATCCATGACAATGCTAAGAGGCATTGCTGCATTCCTGCAGGTGACGGAGGAGAGGGTCTAAACTATGGCAGCCATGTGCACATAATAAAAAGTCAGCAGATTCTAGTTTGCCAAGTTTATACAAAGTTGGGACACTCCAGCCTATTTGCCCTTCTCATGCTTATTCCATGTGTTGTTGCTGTATGCCTGAGTAGTGTTCGTTCAGTCCATCCCATCGCTTTCACCCACACGCTCATCAGACCTATGCTCCCAGACACGGCTTCCTCCATCTGCACTTGCTCCATCCTCTCTGCTCACGCACGCAGATGCACCAAGTACATAGGGCCAGTCATTCTATACGCTCCTTGTGCATCAGATCTAGGCAGTCTACATGTGCTTATTCCCCACACCTCCACATCTAATTCCAGCATGCACCCAGCATGCAAGGTCTGCAATCCTGTTTCTAACCTGCTGCTTTTATGATGGCTCTGGCTCTCCCCTCAATCCCTTGCCTTCAATACCTGGGTCCCCTTATCCTAAGTCAGGAAAAAAATGCCCCCAGAGCTATGCCACACCTCTCTAGTGACAGAGGTTCAAAACCCAGGTACATACAACTACCAGTAGCAATCAAATCCCTTGCTCCCTTAGATGCCTGCTCCATCCCCACTGTAACAGGCCTGAAAAGAGCCAACAAGGCCCCAGTCAAGGCGGCCTCCAGAGTCCCTAAAACCTTCCTTATGAAGGGGCTGCCGGGAACCCTCTTCTGCTCCCTCCACGTGCGACTCCTTTGTCTTTCCACTTTTCATTCCCCACATGTATGCCAACCCCCTCCAGCCCCGCTATCAACCTGGGAACACACCACTCCTCAGTCCCCTCTTGCATCTGGAGTCTTCTGGGCCAGGGTCTCAATGACCTGCACCACTCAACCATCCTTCAAAAACAACTTGTCACCCCCTCCTGCAGTTCTTCGGGGTCACTGGCCCCCTGCAATGCTACGGGAAATGGCCACCAGGAGCATGGAGAAGGACGCAGTTTCCCTCACCTGGCAGGCAGTCCAAGACCTGCCTACTCCCCTGTGCCGGTAGGGCAGGAGCCATCTTCTCAGAAGGGAGGGACTTGATGGCAATAGCAAGGTTCACCCTCACCCAGTTAAGGTAAACCTCTCCCACAACGAAGGAGTTCAACCAGTCTGCAGGGCTGGGCCCTATGAGGTAGGAAAAAGGCCTCATCCCTTGCCATAAGTCCCAGAGCTCAAGGCAATGGGGTAGCAGCAACTCCTGACAACAGGACGTGTGGACTGCCTGAAATGACAAACAGGCCTGGAGCAGCAGCTCATGGAGTCACAGACCATAGGAGGGAGGAGACCAGACCGATGGGGAGAAGAGGTCTCCTGTGCCAACAGGTCTCTGCACTCTCCAGTCCACCCCAAGCTGAAAGGCCAAGAGCAGCAGCAGCTCTCAGCTCTTTGCGTACACATCCAACAGGAAGAGCCTAGACTGCCCCCAGCCTGGGAGGCAGCTCTGAATGGTACCCTTTCCTTAGGGGTAGCCGGACCCCAGAGCACTCGAGGAGGAGATCCCTGGTCTGAAACACTCTCTGGATGACTTAGAGCAAGAGGTTGACCAAAACCAGACCCCAGGAAGAAGCCCCAGTCACCAGCATTGTCTATGGCTCAACCAATATTCAAGCAGTCTGTGCCAAGCAGAACAATGACAGCGGGTGACATTGAAAGCAACCACCCTTATAGCATGGTAAGGTGGGACACGGTGGGGGGCGGATGGTAGGGGTTCAAATGACCTCAGGTAGGGGAATTAATCGAACTAGCGTGCCCTGCATTTGGGCAAGTGCTTTTATCAGAGCACTAGTGGATAAAAGGGAAACCATAATTGCCTTCCCAAAAAATCACAAAGGCCACTGGCACTACCAATGAGAAGTCTCAGCTACAGCAATGTGTCAAGTGGTTCTTGTTAAAAGCTGGAAAACCAGACCAAGACAGCAAAGCCAATTGAAAAGGCCTGAGACGACCCTCTGAAGTATCCCAAAAGTATCCTATTCGATTTCCAGAGAACAAAATCAATTCTTCCCTCCTTTACACCCAGTTACATGTTGTCTGACTCTATCAGCTCCAGTGGAATTACCCTGGTAGAAATCCAGAAAAGAAATAAAATTTGGCACAAATCTATTTAACTGAGCTTTTATGCAACTGGCAGAACAGCATGATTTTGACCTTTTGCTATACTTGGAGCACAACAAGAATATAAATCTATTTTTTAAAAAGGTAAGACTTAAAACAGAGATGGGCTTAATTTCAATTTCAATTTTACAGCCAGTAATGTGGATTGGTGCCATTTTTAAAATTGTCTATATACTTTTTTCTTTAGAAAAAAAAAACCAAACAAACCTGCCCCCCTCCTCGAAAAAAGACAAAGCTACACACAAGGCTCTATGTACCAAGTATAAACCCAGTTAAGGACATTCTGGGATGGGTGCTTTCTCAGTGTAGCACATGCTGTTCTCAAATACCTTACTCTTATATTACTGTGCTAGTTTCACTACCTGGTAACAATAGGGAAATTTAGAGAAATTCCTTATAGTGCTTCCATGAGTATACACAGAAATCAGATCCCCTGGATGTGGGTCACACCTTTATCATGCAGACACAGAGCTCTGCCTGCTCTGTAGAAGTATCCCATGCTTCTGTGGGACTCAGCAGACAGCAATCAAAGACCCTGTGGACCCACAGAGAAGGAAGCACGTACGAAATGCTTCACTATATGGCAGGAGATTCCCACTAAGACTCAGCACAGTGCCAAGATCTAAATTGCCACTGCTCCACCTGCATAGTGTGGATCCCTGCAACATCCAGGAGCTGGAAAACCTTGTTAGCATGGCTTCATGACGTATTGCATATATCCAACTTGTTTCTTGCTTTCATGAGCTAAAGCGACAGGCTCTGCTTTAGTCTGGTTTTTAAACAGACTGAAATAAAGATCCAAACCGCCAGTGGACAGTAGCAGTGGTAAAACTTCAGCACTGGCATAACATTTTAGCTTTGAAGGGTACAGCTTAGAACGTCCCAGGTAAATAATAGCCCAGTCTTCATTGTGTGAAACAAGGAGATGGAGGAGAAGAGAGAAATGCTAGAGCATCTTGGCCAAGTACATGAGGAACCAGTGGAAGATGCAGAATTGAGTTCCTAGCTCCTACCTTGTAGTTACGTTTGTAGGACATTCTACCTCTGGTGACAGGTTAAAATTTAAAATTAGTTGCAAAAAAAGTTTCGCTTGCACTATGGCAAAACAGTACTTTGCCATGCAAAGAGAGCAGTTTCCAGTCACACAGGCATACCAATATATGGAGAGACCATTATTCCCACGTATAATCTCATTTGTCAGCAGCCTGCAAAACCATTATTTTTAAAACAAATAACATTTACCATTAATTGCTTTTTGCTTTCCAGCTGACAAATGAACAAACAGAGGAAACAATACATAAACAGGAACATAAATTTTACAGCACAGCATTAATAAACATGCTAGTCTTCCAAATCTGTCCAGTTTGTTAGTAGCAATCTTTAGCAGCCTGGGCTTCGAAAGTTGTGTTGTAGAAAGTCTGCACAGCCAGATCACATTTATGCACCTTGTTCCTCAAGGAGACACTCTCTAGTCATGAAGAACGTCCCCTTTTCCAGCAGTTTTTAGTACAGTTATTGCAATGAATCCCAGAACAATGATTAGGGTGTTAATCTAGTTTTCTTCCCCTCCACCCTCTTCACATCCCTGAAGATTCATAGCTTGGGCTTGTATAATATCAAGAACCTGTAGGACCCAAACTGTTTGCTTCTAGCCTCTGCTTCAGTGATCAACATATTCATAAGCAGACTTAGTTATTCCATTTTGCAATACTCTGAATAGACACTGCATAAATGACAAGCCCAATTGCAAAACTTGACTTCTTTGGCCCCTCAGTTTTGCACTCTCCCCTGCATATACCCATGATGAAGCTACTGTAAGTTTTAAAGCTCTGTGCGAGTGTACAGAAATGTGTGTGGAAATGATTAGTTGTGCACCACATCTGAGTTCATCCTACCATTCATCACTCCAGCCCTGAGGGCCCAAGTTTGTCCTCAGATTTACCTAAATCCCACTAAAATCCATGGGTGATCTTAACTCGTATCATGAGGCAGAGCCGAGTATCAACTGCATGATTTACCCATCATCAGCTATTTATTGCCATGGCTGGGATTGTAAGGATTTCATGGTGCAGGGGGGATAGAGACAGACATTGCAGAAAAGTCTGTCCAAAGCAGTACTGCATTATGAAAGCATTAGTTCAGAAATAAATAGAACGCAAACCCAAGAGGTTTTAACCAGATTCAATTTTTTTTTTAAATTCAAACTGACCCAAAGCAAAACTTACATTACAAAGGAAGAACAAAATACATTATGATACCGGAAACACAGTGAGAGAGAGTTGCATGAAGCTAGTTTTGTGGGCAAATTGTAAGTTGCTCTTGTCCCAATGACACTTTGGGCTCTGGAGAGATTTTATGAGAACGAGTTAGGAATCGAGATTTCCGTATGGTTCACTCTGCTAAAAAACACTACATGTTCTCTTTTGCTTCAGGGTGTCTGTATGACAACTTAATTATACTATTTCTCTTTGTCCAGATGCATTCTTTTGCTATTGCCAACTATAGCCAGAAAACTAAATTCTCCACGCTGTCCTGAGGAAGCCAGAGTTAATCCAAGCATGAGTGATAATGAATTAAAAAACCAAAACACTCAAAAGTTTTGCAAACTAACGAGTATTGTCTATAATGTAGTAAATAGTTTAGAAATATGGTAATTAAATAATCTAAAAAAAAAAACCACTCTTACTCTCTGCTGTACATTTATAAACACAAATATTTACAAAAAAAATTCTGCTTTGTTTTTAAAGGATGAGGTTTGCAGTTTGTTAATGATCAGAATCTTTTACTAGTCTGTTTCTTTGGTGTATTGCCAATTTTTTAAAAGGTTTAATAAAGTGTTGAACAATGTATTATAAGGAAATGGAACTAGGCTGTGTAACAAATTTATATTATGCACTTATCTTGCCCCATTCCAGTCGAAAGAGTATGGAGAAAACAAATTCAGTTTGAGTTTTTATGTTGCATCTAGTTAAGGGAGCAACAGAAGAATAGATCCACATCATTCAAACCTAGTTAGGCCTGAATGATGGATAAGCCCCGTACTTTACTCATTTAAGCATGAGCTAAAACTTTAAAAAAAGCACACAAACAGCCCCACAGAAGTCATAAAAAACTACTCATAGGCTCAAAGTTAAGCACGTGCTGCAGCAGTTCGCTGAATCAGGGCCTAAAAGCCAGATTCCAAGCCCAACAGTAGCCTCTCTACTGACATGAGTGGGTTTAGGATCAAGTCCTTAGTAAATTTGCTACTAAAAGGGGCAAGGATTTTGAACATTTTTTTTTAAATAAAAGAAAGGCTTTGCATTGGCCTAAAATTTAAGAGTGTTCCCTTTAAAATGTCAGTTACAAAAAACCCCCAAACCTCAAACAATAAATAATGGAATTACATATTTCTTCATTAAATAGCATTTCTGTTACCAACAAGGTCTTTCATAATTTTCTGAAGTCACAGCAGCAGACAGAACAAGCAATATGCCTTGATGTGGGCTTTGACAAGAATACTCAGTTATCTTAGAAAAAGATTATTGTAAAAAATGAAGCTTCACTGATAACAGGGAAGAAAATGGTTTTTAAATCCAAATTTCAGAAGAAAATAGTTAAACGTTAAGATATTTTATTAGAACTTCCGAATAATATTAAGGTTCTGTTTCTATGTCACTGAAGTGAAGATTCAGAGTTAAAAAGCTGTCATCTCCTCCTTAACTCTGCTCATTCCACCCGTAACTTTACTCATCATGCCTAGGTACTTAAGATCCAAGAGGCTGATCTTTTCTGCTTTCAGTGTTCATTAAAAGATACATTAGGAAGTCTAGCTCCCTCTCTCCACAGTACAAACACCGCCAATGCATTTTCACTATGCCTGAGGAGGAAGCACTGCAATGAGGAACATCATCTTGCCCAGTTACTCTAGCCTTTTTGCCAAGGCTGCCAACAAGGGTATACATTCATAATAAGTACATTGACTGTACGGCATGGAGCGTAGTCCTACAGGCTGCTGCAACATTAACTTTTGGCCACTGCTGAAGGAGGCTGGATTTGAATCGATGAGCCCGGGAAGAAAGATTCCTAATCTCATTACCCGTCCTCAGAGCCACAGATCTCTAAATCTAACCCATTGTTTGGAAACCTGTGAGGCACAAAAGGGCAAGATAATCCTTGCTGCTATGGTTCCTGTGGAAACCTTGACAATAAGTTTAGTACTTGAGAAAAATGACAATCCCTGGTTTCAAGGAACGAGGATGAACTGGTACGGATAAACTGGTAAATCCAAGCAGACTTGCTTCTTTGGCTTTTCCTTTATTTTTTTTTCCTTAAACTTTTTGAAAGTGGCGGTGTTAAAATTAAAAGCCGACACCATTTCTTTTACCTCCCCACATCTACACACCTCACTGGTATGAAAGTCTCTCTCATCACATAAGGGTCCTTCTGAAACCAGTATAATGATACAATAAAAGAAGAAAAATTTGGCAAGAGCCTTATACTGACTCCACAACCCTGTGATAATAAGAACCATGAAATGGCTGCAAATTTGATGCCTTCCTGTTTAACGTTGAGGCCTTCACTCTCCACTTGCTACCAGCAACATTTTCATTATTTGATCTTACTAAAGCTTATGATTAAAACAAGCAAACAAACCCACACAGAGACAGCAAAATTTGGCTATTGTATTAGTCATTATTTTCAGATGAATAAGAACTGATTTAGGGCAAAGACAGATTAAAACTGTTGTAAGTGGGCGGTGCTTACTGTTTCATCTGTCTGGTCTTATCCTGCAGCATGTGAAATTGAAGCATGGTAACTTAACCCCAATTAAACCGGGAGTAAGATGCCTTCATTTCATTTCCACTTACTGCACGACAGAAATGAGCAAACAAAACCATTACAGCAGAACAGAAGTAACAATCTTCCCTATTTCTTCCCCCACCTACCTGCCAAAAAACAGAAATTGTTTCTTTTTTCCCATACCACCACTGTTTGCAAAATTTAAAGTATTAATGCTAAGGGGAGCATTTTAGTCAGTGCACATATGAAATCAAATTAATGGAAGCTTATCAACTGAGGCTACTTAGCTTTGAACAAACACCAAACAACTGAGAGCCTATCCCTCAAAAACCTGTAATCCCTCTTTAAAAAAAGGAAAGTATTCTACCACATCTTGGGCATTGAAAATACTTGGCCTGACAAAGTGAACGTGAAATTTCAGTGCAAACTGAAATACAAATAGCCAAAGTTATACATTCATGAAATTCAGGGATTACTATAAAACAATAACTGCCATGTCATCATAGCATTGCAGTATCAATGCTACAGTAAGGCAGCAGTCCCTAACCTCAAAAATAATGCATTGAGGCTAAGTAAGGAACGTGATGGACAAAGCACATCCGAAAACTTATTGCACAGGAGGCACTGCATGAGAAATGGAATACACTGGCTTCCCCTTAAATGAACGTCAAAATAATACAGAGACTATGACTCGGTGCACCGTACTGTCACTTTTAAAAACAGCCGTTATAAACAATAGCCCATTTACAGGGAAATGATAGGAAAAAGCAAAAGGACCTGAATTTGGACATCCAAACTTGAATAATTAGGAAAAATAACAGTATAAAAAGTGCCAATTTATATGCCTAAAAATTTAGCTGGGCGACTGTTTTCTGTTTAAATTTCCACATGGCATTTATACAGTACCAACACATCTTGGTTACAATCTCTGTCTTGAAGCTGCAAAGGGATACATGAGGGCAGAGATTTAAGCCTATATAAGTTCCATCAATCAGCAGTAACAAAGATCTTCCCACGTGTCCCTTGGCAGAACTGGGGCCTTTATTTCCAAATCTCATTTATTAAATAACTACTCAGCTGACTTATGACACCACGCATACCAACCAGAACCAATCCTTCCTTCCTTTGAGCAGACCGTGTTCCATCTCTATTGCAAGGCTGCACACTTCATTTAATGAAAACAAAATTTTGTAAATGTAATATTGTATAGAAACCTTGGACCTTGTAAACTTGGACCAAGAAACCAAAAATTAAGACCTTCTAGCATGTGGTATAAAAAAACCCAAGGAAGTGTATACCTGCCTTCTGACTTCATAGAAAAATCAGAATTTGCATAGGATATACTTTGTGCAAGGCAACCAGCCTCTAAGTATCTGGAATATAACTAATCTTGTTTAGAGTCCTTCTCTTCATGGATATCAGATATCATCAAATTTGTGTTTTAAGTAGTCTTTCATGACCTTGGCAATGGGTAGTTCATCAAGTAGTTTTAGATTTTGAAGGCCTATACACTGACGGATTTTAATTCGGCATAGATCTTGCAAGTTTCTGGGCTGTCCTGAAAGAGACAAAAAGGAATGTATTAGTGTCATGTAATAGAAGAAAAAAAAATCACATTTAAAACATTGTAAAAGATTATGCTTTTAAAGTTGCATAATATATTTATTTTTGATGGGTGGTAGAGAAGAATTTCTTCTTGATTGTTGTCCCTTATGAATGAATATTAGAATATAACTCTTTAGAAAATAAAGGGTTCGGTACTGCAGACACCGATGCACAAGAATATCTCTGTTCATGATTAGTTTTGCTGAAGTCAGTATCAGTGCGAGATGAGGTTATACACAAGTGTTTACACAAGTGAAGCAACACATGCTAAGTATTTCCAAAACTGGGACCTAAACCTGGAGTTTTGATCATGGGAAAGTAGGGCTAGAAGGGACTTCATGAGGTCATCTAGTCCAGCTCTTTGCTCAAAGCAGGATCATCTCTGACTAAACCGTCCAAGCCAAGTGTCTGTCTTGAAAATTTCTAGGGATGGAGAGTCCTCAGCCTCTCTAGGTAGCCTGTTCCAATGCTTTATTATACTTGTGTGTAATTATTTTACAGAATCTTAGTGTGACTCAGCCTAATCCCTGTAATACCTCTTAAAGTTCAAAGATCAAACCTTGTTTCCTTTCACATACCAAGGCAGTTATTCTCTGCTCAGTCCCCTTTTCGTAGGGGGGCAGCCTCTGCAGAAGGTAAGGTTTAAAGAATGCAAGCATCAGATGCCAGAGTTTGCTACTGTATTTTCCCTTCAAATAAAGAGATACAGCTTTTAGACCCCC